AAAAAAAAAAAAGAAAATTCGGTGACTTACCCTTCAGTTTTAGTCTAGGTTAATTTCACTATGTTCTCTTAAAATAGGAATTATTTCCTTATATTTAATGGACACTCTCTACAAAACATGTCCCATTTACGCCATGTTCTCAGTTCCATCATTTTCCTGATTTGGTGTTTGAAAGGGTACAAGTTATGGCATCAGTTCTGGAGAAGAAAAAACCTTCTGGGCATTGTCACACCAGCACCGGTGCTGGTGAAGGCAGTGCGTGATGTGGTTCTTTGCGACGTGACCTTTTGCACATGATGACCACTTCTGACTTAACGCGGAATAAAATCAATAATGGCAACTGTAGATGTATTTTAACTGGAAATTAATTTGGGAGTCGAATGGGTTGGTTTTACGCTGCAGCTTATCTGTCTTCTTAGATTTCGTTCTTCCCCAGTATTTAATGACTTCTGAGAAATGTCTCTTCCATTTATCCATTTATTTGTCCGTTACTTTCAGGTCATTAAATGAGTACCTCTAAGTGGCACCATTATGCGATGTCTTCTTGAAATGCCTACCACCCACCTCTTAAGCACCATATTAGAAAAACAACAACAATGTAACAGAAAAACAAAACTATGATGGACACTGGCCGGACAGTGAGGGTCAATCCCAGGGTTCCAAATCGGAGCTTTCCCCTCTTACAGGGAAAGCATGGACGGGCACCACATTGTTTTATGAGGGGCTGAGTCTGTGCCATGGAACATCAAACTGGAACCCTCCAATATTCCTCCGAAATCCTAAAATCCCCCGGTCTTCCCTGCAGCTCTGGAAATCATGCTCAAGTGTGTTCCTCACTGTTCACGGAGGTTTCCATTCTTGCCCTTGACCCTGCTGCCCAACTCAGAATCCTGCTGCCTGCAGGGCAAAACCCAAGCCCACTGGCCCCACCGGCCGGAGGAGCCCCTCCCACGCTGCCCTCCTTCCTAGACTCAGCCCCGTCCCTCCTCCCAGCCACACTGGAGGACCTGCACGGGTGGTGACACAGTGATGTTCCATCGCAGTCCTCACACTCATTCTCCCCATTCCCTCGCCATCCCCATCAGCGAGCGCACCTGCTCTAATACCACCGCTCCTTAAAAAAGCCTCTCATTCACCTCAAACTCCCTTCCAGTCACTGACCCATTACTTGCCCCTCTTCTCATGAAAACTCACTGGGAGACCTGTCCGTACAAGCAACCCCGCTGCCTCCCCTCCCTTCTCTTGCAACCACTCTGCCAGGCCTTCACTGCCTGCAGCCCAAGGAAGCTTCTTTTCTGGAGGCCAGGAGTGAACTCCACATGGCCAAATCCAAAGATCAAGTCTTGGTTCTCGGCTCAGGCGACCTGCGGGCAATGTTCCTACAGTCCTTTCCACTTGGCCGCAGGGCATGGCTCTGTCTTTCCCTTCACTTGCCTCTTTCCCCCACTCTTGCTGCCGCCCTCACCTTCCTGCCTTCAGAACACAAGCATGCTCCAGGGAACAATTCAGACACCCTTCCCTTTCTGTCTGCACCTAACCTCTGACTGTCTTATCTAATCCAGTGGCTTACATACCTCCCAATGTATGGAAACACCTCAGGTCCACACCCAGCCCAGTCCCTCTGTCTTTCAGACCCCTACATCCACGCAGAGACCTAGTGGTGTCTCCAAGGGCTTCCGACACCCACCCCTGCACCTGTGGCCTTCCGTACCTGAACCTGCACCTATGA